TGCAGCTGTTCTTTATATGTTTTAACATAATATCATTTCTATTATGCAAATACAACCAATGTTAGGTCTAATCTTACACTGGTATCTTAACATCATGCAGAAACCGGGGAAAAGAAGTTGGAGAAAGCTGGTGCATAAGTCATCTATGGTCACATTTTGCCTTCTTCTTATCTCATTTTTGCCTTTAATCACCAAATTTCAAAACTTTTACCAGACTTCCTTGGATATGCAAGCTTTGCTAAGCAGAGAGATGGTGAGTTACAATTATCCCCGGAATTATTAAGAAGATCTGACAAACAATGGATATCTACCCATTGAATATACAGCCCATGGTTGGGCCTTTCTATGTCTCCTGTGATAGTTAAATTTTTGTACTCTCTAGAGACGTGCATCATCTTTTTATCCACTCAGATTCTTTCAGATTTAACTTCACTAGATGATCATTGTCAAGTGACAAAATCTTGCCTGCTAGATCAGGTAGGGGAGGGAATCCTTAAACTTTGCCTTGAAAGATATTGTCTTGGTTCCAGGCTATAACTGAGTATAGCAAATTTTCTGGAAAGAGCCTGACAAGGATTTTTGAAAGTTTAAGTAATGTTAAGCAAAGCTTTCTTCATACTTTCAAGCCTGTAACAATGAACTGCTATTACAATAAAACATTTCAATATTTTCCGCTTGCAGAAATGTGATAATCTTTAATAATGTTATAACAAATGCAACAGCAGGTTGTGATAAGGATATTTATTCTTATAGTTTATATACAGTATTATTACTTTCCTTAGTTCCTCTGTAACTCCTGTGACCTCTAGGGGCCAATGCTAGAACAACACCCAGAATTTCCAAATGAAGATTAAATTCCAAAATCTACCTCATGAAAAGACTTTCGGCTCAATAATTTTGGCATTCACCCCTTTAATTCCCTGGATGTTCTCTAAGAGATCCATAACTTCTGAACACTGAAGAGTATTGCTCTAATGATATAAATTATTTTAGGATTGTAGTAATATGTTTATAAAAAGAATCCTCAAACAAGGGATAAATAAAGGTCTATCATCTGGTAAAAATTTAAAAATAAAATAAGTAATAAATAAAACCAATAAATAAATTACAAAGAAAACAAAAACAAACAAACAAACAAAAACTGAAATGGACTGCTGGGTCTTTTTCTGCTGTCAGTTTTCTATGTTTCTAAGAGCTTTGACTATTCCACATTCTGTTGTTTAGATGGTCTGTTTAGAGCACTTGTTCTCCAGCATGTTAAAAAGAAATCATATTCTGAAAAGTTGGGGGGGGAGAGAGAGAGAACCTGAGAGAGAGAATGAGAGACAGAGAGAGAAAGAGAAAGAGGGAGGGAGGGAGAGAGGAAGGGAGGGAGGGAGGGAGGGAGGGAGGGAGAATCTGAGAGAGAGAACCTGAGAATTTTTAGAAATCTTTCAAAAGTTGATGAATTTTAGAAGACTCTTATCTCAGTTTGCCTGATCCCAGAAAAGCCAACCAGGACAGGATCTGATTAGAACTCGAGTGGAAAACCATAACATCCCAGATTAGTAGTTGGACTAAGAAGACAAACAAGCATCATAGAAGGCAATGGCAAACCCACTTCTGTATTGTCAATATGAGTGTGCTTGTGAAATGTCCAGTGAGTATTTGATCCTAACTCAAGAGAAAGTTTACCTTCACTGAACCAATCAATATTTATTTCATCCATATTAATTCTGTGTATACCCAGGGAACTAACTCAAGAAGTTGGCTCAATTTATTCAACTGTAGTTAATTAGGGTAAAATAGTATGGCATTTTGAATAACATCCCAAGGGCCCTAGGACTTATTTATTTTCATCACTTCTAACCTTTAAAGAGACACTCAGTCCCCAATTTTTGTATCAACAGTGAGTGAAACTGAGACAGGATAACTCTGGATCCAAAACATTTCAATTCCAATACCTCCTCCTGGATCCTTTAAGTAATCTCTGCCAAAGGAATATTTATTCCAACCAACATTAATAATCTATTCAATTCTTTTAAATTCTGGTAATCAGAGGAAGAAATGGAGGATCCAGAAATGCAAAGAATTATCTATTTTCCCTCTTCTATTCTTCCCAGTTTCAGTGGAAGTTGCTGGCTTTGGGAAATGTTCTAAAATATACTCTACGATGGCCTTGGTATTAACCTATAAAAATATTTCTAACTTATTTTCCAATTATACTTGACCAAGATAATTTAGACCACTGATTTGGCTTCAGTTAAAAAAATTCAATATCCAACAAATACTAAAGCTAAATACAGTAACCTCAATAAAACTAAAGCAAAGAATAATCATATCAAAATTACATAGATAAAGAGAGAAGGGGGGAGGGAGAGAGAGATTGGAGGGAGGGGCTTTAATTAAGTTGTATTACTACAAGAAAAAAATATTTGAAATTTATTTTTATTAAGGTACATTATTTATACAAGTTTTAAAAAATTTGCAAAAAGACATGGGTTGGGTGGATCATTGTTAAAACAATGATGGTGCCAGGCATATCATATTTAAAAAAGCATTATAGAAGTACAGGCTACCACAGGAAATATCTCCTCTAATACCATTTGATTTAATTCTTATGTCAATCTCTGCCTTAGATTCTAAAAGAATAAGAAAACTGATACACAGAAATAGACTGTGGCCCAGGATATGTAGAGCTTTAGCTATCAGTACTGACTGGCATCTGGGAACTAGTGCATATCTGTTAACCTTCTAAATCTACATACTTTAAAACCTTCTTAGAGCAGCTTTCATAATAAATCCTTCACTGTATTCCAGCAGTATGGAACATAAGAATGCTCAATGTTAGTGCATTTCTTCGTGCTACCCAGGCTGTGGAATAATTTAGAGTACAAAGTTGTGATAGAAATTGTCTCCAATTGCAGTTATGTAGTTGGCATTGCCATAGTGTCCATAGTGTCCTGCTTTTCACATAAATCTAAGCCACATACCTCCATTTACATATTACAGTGCACAACAGGTTAAGCCCAAACTAAACAAATTACATAATGATTGAGTGCAACGCATGATTCAGTTTGCATTGGCTGGCTATTTTAAGAATTAGAAATGGATTGATTCTGAGAACTGGGTTGAGTTTACGTTACAATGCAAAGCCAGAATGTGGTTTGGTTAGTTTGGACTGAATCTGTTGCATGTACCCAAAAAATATATATGTATGTGCTGATTGCATTCCGTCCACAGACCCATAGGCTGGATAAGCCTCATTTAGCTTCTAAAAATGCATGTTATGATTGCACTGACTTTTGAAACATATCCTACTGAATTCAGTGGGGCTTCCTTTTGAACTAACTTATATAAGATTACATTGCAAGACACTGAACAGAATAACTTGCTCTGAATTATGTTGGTAACCCAAATGGGTAGATGTGGAGTAGGTAGTTGCATTTTCCTCATTCTCTGATTTTGTTTCACCTAAAATATTTGAAGTTTGCACAATTTTTTTGCATATTGGTTGGTCCTAATAAATATTTTATTCACAAGTTTGCACATTGGTTGGTCATAATAAATATTTTATTAATCAGTGGTTTGTAGATTTATTTTTCCATTTTCCTTTTAAAAGAGAATATAATAGCAGAAAGCCAAATTTATTTTTATTTATTTTTATTTTTTATTTTATTTGTTTGTCAAACATGTACAAGATAACAAGTGTAGGTATGAACATAAACAAGAACAAAGGAAGTTAATACAGATAAATGGGGACAGTAAAACAGGGATGGTAGGCACGCTGGTGCACTTATATGGAGCTCTTAGGGATGGGGTGAAGTCCACGGTAGACAGTTTGAGATTGAAGCTGTGAGGGTTTGAGGCTGTAACAACGGAGTCGGGCAGGGCATCACCATTCAGTTGCTAAAGTCATATTTTCAAGTCAATTTCCCAAATAAGCAAAACTTTATAATAAATAAAATCAAAAATGGCTTGTTTGTCTAAATTCTTCTTTTTCCACTTGGCACATTAAAAAAAAAAATCCCATCACCATCACTCCCACTATCCATTAAAAATAAATAAATCTCGCCACTACCACAGCCCACCAAGTTAAAGCATATTCGTGTCCTTTCTTGAAAAACAACTTCGTGATGGATTTATAAATTTAAAAAGCACATTAAGCGTACATATGAAATGGGGAGAGCAGTCACGGGATAAAAGCAAGAGAATCGCAAAACAAAAAACGAAAAAAACCCGAAACAGTTCAAAAGAATTTTACCCAATTAAGAGACGGTGGAGCCTTTGGAAGTTTAGATGTAAACAGATACCTATCTCGGCGGCAGGTAATTTGGTTGCGAAAGGAAAAAGCGGGGAAAGGAGGGGGCCGCGGGCGTTGCAGCACCTTGGAGAGCGCCAAGGAGCGCGTTGTTGCGCGCGCACCTTAAAAAGCAGCCCGGCGGAGTCAGATAACGCAGTAGAACCGTCTGCACCGAAGCGGGACGGGAGGCAGGATTGGTCTTGAGCCACAGTTGCAGGTTGGACGGAAGGGTCAAGAAACGCTGCTGCTTGGGAGAGCCGCGCTCAACTTCAACCTGGCTTAGAGTTAGCTGCACGCACGGGCTGAGTAGCCGGCAAGTAGACGTCTGGGAGGCTCCGCTGCTACATCTGCCCCAAAACAGTGAGTGACTTTCCTTGGAGCTCCCCCGAAGTCTGTGGTTCCCCCGCCTTTGGATCTTTCTGGTCTTTCGCATCCGGCGGCTTGCGCGGTCCCCTCTCCCTCGAGAAGATCAGCTGTGAGCTTCCTCGCGCTGCTACCTCTCCAAACCTTTTCTTCCCCAATTCCCTGCCAAAGATTTCGCAGCTTAGGTAGCCTCTCCAGACGTCGGACGAAGGGGGTCCTTCCTTTGACAGGCGACTTCTGGAAATAGAGACTCTTTTTGTTCTTCTTCTTCTTCTTCTTCTTCTTGTTGTTGTCTCGCAGTGGAAGCTTGTTATGTGGAGCTGAGAGGACACAAACATTTCCCCTCTGCCATGGGATGGATGCCCTGTGTGAATACAGCTACTGCTCGCTGGCCGCTGGCATAAAGGAAGCAGAAGTGGGAGAACTCAACCCTTTCCCCAGCCTGCTGGAAGAGAGGCTGTTAAGCAACGGCACCAACGAGTCCCTACAGGAGTTCTGGAGGAGCTTCCTCAACCGAGAGAGAGCAGATGGGCTACAGGGAGGCAGCTCCATCCTCCTACGGATCTTCATCTCCATCATCTACTCTGTGGTGTGCGCCCTTGGTCTGGTGGGCAATGTGCTGGTGCTCTACCTGATGAAAAGCAAATGGAAAAAGTCTTCCATCAATCTCTTTGTGACCTGTTTGGCAGTGACTGATTTCCAATTTGTCCTGACTTTGCCCTTCTGGGCCGTGGAGAATGCTCTGGATTTCACTTGGCTCTTTGGCAAAGCCATGTGCAAGATGCTTTCCTATGTGACCGCCATGAACATGTACGCCAGTGTCTTCTTCCTCACTGCCATGAGCATTGCCCGCTACCACGCGGTGGCCTCTGCCCTGAAAAGTAGGAGGCAAGGAGGGCTCTTGGATGGCTGCTCTTCAGCTAAATGGTTGTGTGCCCTCATTTGGATCCTAGCCATTCTCGCTTCTCTGCCCAACGGCATCTTCTCCACCACCTCCACTATCTTCGGTGAGGAACTCTGTCTGGTCAAGATACCCGATAGCCAAGGTAACAATACTCCATTCTGGTTGGGGCTCTACCATGCCCAGAAGGTCCTGCTGGGCTTTCTATTGCCTTTGACCATCATCACCCTTTGCTACCTTTTGCTGGTGCGCTTCATCAGTGACAGGCATGTGGGAGCCGGTTCCTGTGGGCCAAGCACTAAGCGCCGATCCAAGGTGACCAAGTCAGTGACCATCGTGGTACTGTCCTTCTTCCTTTGCTGGCTGCCCAACCAGGCACTCACCACCTGGGGGGTCCTCATCAAGTTAAACCTTCTGCACTTCAGCCATGCTTACTTTCTCTCTCAGGCATACCTCTTCCCCATCACTGTCTGCCTGGCCCATTCCAACAGCTGCCTCAATCCCATCTTCTACTGCCTCATGCGCAGGGAATTCCGTAAAGCCCTCAAGAAGCTGCTGTGGAGGATTGCTTCACCCTCCACCACCACCATGCGCCCATTCACCGCTACCACCAAGCCCGAGCAGGAAGAGCAGGCACTGAAGAACCTAATGACCATTCAACCCACAAGCAGTTCTGCTCCTCCTCTTCCTCCTCCTCCTCCTCCTCCTCCTGCTAGACCAGGAGATGTTCCTGATGCCGTCTGCTATCCTCCTGGGGTGGTGACGTACAGTAGCTGCTCTAATATCTTTCCGTCCATCGCCTCCACTGAGCTGCGATGTTGAGTCTGAGGGACTGGCACCGAGAAAGAAAGAAAGAAATCGCTTGCTATTTCCTGAATCAGTCGATGTGGTTTTCTGTATTGGAGCATTCCCGGAACTGCCTTGTTGTGGGATGGAGGGAGTAGGTCCAAGTCTAAAGAGCCATGCTTCTTTACAGTAACAGAGTTGGAAGGGACCTTGGAGGTCATCAAGTCCAACCCCCTCCTTATGCAGGAGAACTGTATTATTTCTGACAAATGGCTGTCCACTCTCCTCTTAAAAGGCTTCAGTGGTGGGACTTGGCACAGGATTAGGGTGTTGATCACTAACCTCTCCATTCCAAGCCTTGGAAATTTCTGGAATTTGTTCAACTGCTGATCTGCCTCCCCAGCCAACAAGTAACACAAAAATAGGGATAAGTTTCCATAATTTTTTTTTTTTAAATTCTGGCAGTCTATGAAGTTGAATGCACCAAATGTTTATGACAATTCCCATTCCAGAGATGGGATGTTTTGGTTTTTCTCTTGGATCATGCCCATCCAAACTTAAACATAAATCATATGGAATAGAAAGTGTTTTGTAGCATCTTGGATGGTTGGGTGTTTATCAGCATGGAAGGAAATGAAGAAGGTTTATTCTAGCACTCAGGGAAGCAATGTGGGAGCGAGGGGAAATTTATGGGACGACTTCACTTGGAATGCCAACTGCTGCAACATATAATAAAGGTAAAGGCGGGGAAAGTGCAGACAAGAGTGACCGGAATGATCAAAGCCTGAAGGAACTTCAACAAGAAGAAAGCTTGCATTGTTTGCAATTCTTTAGATTTGGGGGGAGGGCTGTGAAACTAAGCAGGGAAGGGAAGAAGTGAGTAGGGAGAAAGTCAGGATTCTAGACAACGACAAAGGATGGTGGGAGAGCCAGGCTAGACAAAATAAGTATCTAGATAGTGGCATTGATACCGTGATGGCCATGACCTTCAACAATTTATCCGTGAAGGGTGAAGTTAAGCATGATGAGTCCACAGTACCTTCAGAAGCAATGTTTCCGAATACAACAAGGTGCTCAGAAACACGCTTGTTGTCATAGCCTGCTTATGAGCTTTCCATAGGCATCTGGCTTGCCATTCAAGTGACTGAATAGTAACTGAATCAACGTTCAGTTGATTCAGATTAGATGAGCTTTTATATAAATAACAGATAAATAACAGATAACAGATATTCAGAGTTGGAAGGGACCTTGTAGGTCACCTAGTCCAACCCCCTGCCCAAGCAGGAGATCCTACACCATTTCTGACAAATGGCAGCCCAATCTCTTCTTTTGATCCAATCCAGCAGGAAGGCTCTTTTTATGGGTTTATGAATACAGTAGTAGGCTGTGAAATTGAGTCTTTTAAGGACGAGGTTTTTTTAGATTAGTCCAGATAAAATAATATTTGCATTTCCAGTTATGGTGTTCACCCTGCTCATTGAATTAGGAAAGATTTCTCCACCAGACTCTGTTTCCCTTCCTAGTAAGAAAAATGAAAGGCTAAGCTGAATGGACTGGAAATTCATTTATCCCGGTTAGAGGGGATAATCCGTAAATAGGGAAAAAAAAGTATGTTTATTGTTGATCCTCATTCAAACAATTCCATCTTCATAGGATAGATAGAACACAGGGTTTTAAGACGAACTATATTCAGATATTGTGTATTAGGACTAAGCTCTTTTTAGTTTCTTCAAAGTATAGAAGAAGAGAGGAAGGGCTGGAGGAGTGAGAGAACAAAAGAGGGAGAAAGCAGCTCTTGTAAATTTGTTCCACTCTTGAATCTAAGATTGAAAGCAAGAGAAATTGTCCTTGTAACTTGCAAGGATGTTATTGTTCTGCCAATGGACTGCCTGTCCATCATTTACCTTGAAAAGATTTCTTTGTAAAACTGTGGGGGGAAATGGACTGGACTTCAAAAGACTGATAAAAGTCAAAGGCAGATGGTGAAAAAGGCTTCGAAGGAAAATCCCAAGAACTGGCATTAACAAACTCTACCTGACAAGCATGGATTTAAGGCCATCAAGGACGGGTGGGATGCAAATATTTTTACTACCGGTTCTGTGGGCGTGGCTAGGTGGGAGTGGCTAGGTGGGCATGGCCATGTGACTGGGTGGGTGTGGCTTCTTCTTTCTTTTTTTTTCTTTTTTTTGTGCAGCACCCTCCCCCCTCCATTTTTTGGCCTCCTGGGCCTCAGGGAAACCTCCTTGGGGGGGGGGGCACTTTTGCTCCCAGGAGGTTTTCCTGAGGCCCAGTAAGGCAAAAAACGTAGTGCAACCCCCATGCTCCATTTTTTGGCCTCCTGGGCCAAGCAGTAATTCAACGAGGGGGATCTCGGCACAGCTGATCATCAGGAGGGGAAAAAAAATATTGGTTCAGGTGAACTGGTAGCTATATTTTTTTACTACCAGTCCGCCCGAACTGAGCCGAACCGGTAGAATCCCATCACTGGTCAAGGACGCTCTTGCTAGTTCAGGCTGATGTCTATTCTGTTTAGATAGATGACACTTTTGTTTGCTCCTAGCACGATTAGAAATATGGAAGATGGAAGTGCTGTATAGTTGCTACAGTTCTGAGTGTTGGCAGAACTATCTGGATGTGAGTTAAAGAAATTCAAAATATGCCCTTCACCATAATTTATCTATCTAGAACAGGGGTCCCCAAACTTGGCAACTTTAAGACCTGTGGACTTCAACTCCCATAATTCTCCAGCCAGCACCTCTGATCTAGAAAGATGTTCCTTCCTGGTTTCAATTCCAGATTATGATCTTTAAAGCTCCATTCCCCATTAAGCATCAATTGGAATGACATCAATTGTACTTGCAGCTGGCAATACTTATACCTTTGAGCAAATAACTCCTATCAATTGGAGGACTGGCTTAATGATTAAGGATGGGACATAATTGATTGAAGAAAGGAAGCTTTACAGTATATTTTCCATATCAAGGCTGTCTCATTCCATGTGAACTATTAAATCTCTGTGTCCATATCAAGCATGGTCATGTTTTTACAAAACAAGGCGATTCCGTGGCTGGAAAGGATCTGAAGGCTGAAAGAAGCAATTATGCAATTTACTGGAAAGAAGCAAAACCATGTGTTCATTTTGTATATATATAGCTGGTAATTTCAAGTATTTTTGTCATTCTTATGAATAGGGGTGCCAAGTTGAACTAGACAGGACAAAGTTAGTTATTCTGATATGAATGCAGAAACACAACCCTTTTTCTTCCTGCTTGGAGCATACAAAATACAGACAATGATGAATCCTACCCTGTAATACTTCATGCATTTGCAACACACAGTTGTAATCACAAGGAAGGGTAATTTCCCTTTTTCCACTGCAGTCATATTGAATCTGAATTGCTCTAATTTTGATACTTAAAAAAAAGTAATCTGGAGAAGCTTCTCAGCCATCTGCAAATGGCACCACATAGGTCAAGGTTAAAGCTGATGTCCTATCAGCAAACATATCAGGGACATGGTGGCTCAGTAGCTAAGATGCTGAGCTCGTTGATCAGAAAGGTCAGCAGTTCGGTGGTTTGAATCCCTAGTGCCGCGTAACGGATTGAGCTCCCGTTACTTGTCCCAGCTTCTGCCAACCTAGCAGTTCGAAAGCATGTAAAAATGCAAGTAGAAAAATAGGGACCAATTTGGTGGGAAGGTAACAACATTCCGTGTGCCTTTTGTGTTTAGTTATGCCGGTCACATGACCACGGAGATGTCTTCAGACAGTGCTGGCTCTTCAGAGCTGGAAACAACTGGCACGTTTGTGCGAGGGGAACCTTTACAGCAAACATTCTAGTCTTTGGTCATGAACTAATAAACCCATTCATAGAAACATGGGAAGTCCTGGGGTTTTACTGAAAGGACCATTTCTGTGTCACCAATCCATAGGCATTGTCCTCCTTTCCTGTGAAGGTCACCCCCAACTTCTGGAGGGGTTGGGGAAAATGATGGAAAACCATCAAGAAGACACTGTAGACATAGGCCTCCATAAAATTCAATGAGTGAGACAGATGATTACATGATGAATTCATAACATGAGCAATAGAAAGTTACAATGTCAAGAGACCCAGAGTGATGATGTGCTGGTTGAGATGTTGGGCTACGACCATAGAAATCCAAATTCAAGTCCACTCTCAACCTAAGAAGCTTATTGGGTGAATTTGTTCGAACCTCTCAACCCACTTTATCTCATGGAGTAGTTGAGCAGGTGTTCAACCTATATAATTTGCTTTCAGATGGGAGAACATCTAAGTTTGTCAACAATGGAGGCTGAATTCTCATGTTTGTCTTTATTATGTACAGATTTAGTTTTGTATAAGCAATTATTGATTGATATGGGAATTGACGTAACAGATCCCATTGTTATTTTCGAAGATAACCAATCAGCAATACAGATGGCTTCAAACATTGCTGTTAAAACAAGAACGAAACACACAGATTTAAGATATTTAAATGTGAGACAATGTGTGCAAAGTAAAATGATTAAGCTAGAATACTGTATGTCAGAAAACAATATAGCAGATCATTTTACAAAAGCCCAAGGCTCTATAAAGCATAAGGCGTGCTGTGAAGATTATGGACTTAGAATGTAAGGTTGTATATGTTGTCTTACCCAAAAGGGGAGACTGTTAGGAATATAAGTCACCTAACAGGTATTTGGGTTAGAAATATATAAACCAGGATAAACATTTTAAAACTGTATCTTTAAGAAAATGCAAAACTGTAATTAGGTGTGGTTTCTCTAACGGACATAAGATGGAGCCAGAAACCTGGGTTGTTTAGTCTGAGTCTCAGAAGAGAGTGTGAATGTATCTCTGTTTCCTTCTGTTGGAAAATATTGCCATTCCTCCATTTCTTCTAATTGACTGGTATTACTGGATTAAATGTAAGTCTGATACTGAACTATTTTTTGACACTGGACTTTGATATTTGGATTGAAAAACTGACTGATTTACCTGTGAATGAGTTTGGATTGCTTATTTTGGACTTTGCTT